GAGAACATCCAGGTGGACTGGGACCCGTACCTGATCGAGGAGGAGATGCTGGAGGAGGCTCTCGCACCGGCGCCAAAGAGGAATCGATGGTCATCGAGGCTGGCGGCCAACAAGGAGGCGATCGTGGAGGCGCTCCTGGCGGAGGTGGATGCGGACATCCGCCGCTGAGCGTCGAGCAGTACGATATCTACAGCGACGGCGGCTGCAACACCACCAACTACGACGACTATGGCGGCTACGAGCGCGACGTGATGGACTTCAGCTTCATGGTTTGGCGTAGGGCAAGTCAGGCTCGAGGTGACATCGCGGCGTCAAGCGACGGCGGCTACGAGGATGAGGTTGTGGGTGTGACGCTGGAGGACGTCGCGCCGAAGCCCGAGAAGGACAAGAGCAACGGGGAGTTGCAGTGCTTCGACATCGGCTCGAACGCGGTTCCCGAGGAGCTCGACGACCCAGATACTTTCGTGAAGGAGTACGAGGAAGACATGCAGAAGGACATGAGCAACGTGGAGCTGAAGAGCGTGGTTGACGCCGTCGGCTTAGGCGAGGTTTTGGACGAGATCGCCAGCACGGCCTCCCTCGGCGACGACTGCGATGAGCTCGACGACGACTTCAGCGCCGTTGGTGCCGGCATCATGCAGAAGCTAGACTGCCATCGCTCTGGGCGCAATGGCAAGGGCAATGGCAAGAGCAAGGCCAAGGGCAAAGGCAAGCACAAGTGCGAGATCAAGCACGGCGGCTCCGAGGGGGACGGCTTCGACCACGTCTCCACGAAGGAGCTGCTGCAGATCGCCGAGAAGCGGTTCGGGAGCGACGTCGTCGGCAAGTTGCTCCTCCACACGCCGGCCCTCCGCGAGGGCTCCGTGGACTGAGCGAGGCTGCCGCGTTACGGCGTTCCCCTCGTTTTGGCCGCCGTCGGGCGGTGTTTCGGGGTCCTGTGGCCTCGTCGCCGTGCTGGATCCCCCTCTTTTGCGCTGGGCATCGGCCTGGCACCGTGCTTCGCCTAGGTAGCGGCATCCACAGACGGATGGACTCATCAGATGCCTCAGATCCCTCCTCCTCCTCCTCCTCCTCCTCCTCCTAGCTCCCCCCCCTCCTCCTCCTAGCTCCCCCTCCTCCTCCTCCTCCTCCTCCTCCTCCTCCCCCTCCTCCTCCTCCTCCTCCTCCTGCACACGGCCGGGCCCCTCGCCGGGAGAGCTCCTGCCCGCTGGCCCCCCCCGCGAACAGGGGGGCGGCGCCCGTCCCCGACCCCGCCTCCTCCGCGCTCGTCATCAGCAGCTCCGCGGACTGGAGCGCCATGCTCAGCCTCTTCCCCGCCTCGCGCGCGCCGGCGGCTTCGGCTTCACGCAAGGATTGGCCCTGGGCGAGAGCGGCCTTCGGCGTGCGGCCTTCGGGGGGCGCGGGGCCAGCCCAAGAGCGCGCGTGCCGCCGCTATCGCACCGCATCCAAGGATCGGGGGATCCCAGTGTGGTAGGAATCACGGCCTTCACTACTATTTGTTGGAGATCGTTGCTCTCGTAGTCATTACGGTAGTTTCTGTCGTGTCCGTCGTCGTCGTGTTTTTGTTTACTTGTTTGTTGTCGTCGTGGTCGTTTCCGTCGGGTTCGTCGTCGTCGCATGCGTTTTCGCAGTCGAGTTCGTACTGTTCTCGCCGTCGCGCTCGCACTCATCGTAATCGTGATCGTCACTCTGGCGAAGTGTCGGCCCGGCGCATAGTCCGTCGCAGCCACGTGGTGATATTGCAGGAAGTGCGTATCCCGCACGAACGATTGCACGAACTACAGTCGGCCCGTATCGCAAGGATGCGCGATAAGGATGCAAGGGCCCTGGACGCCCATTTCGCAGCTTCTCGCGCGGGGCGCGGCCAACGAAGGTGGCCAAGGATGGACCGAGGAGGCAAGGATGCGAGGGTACCCTGGGAAGGCTGCCCATCCTTACAATGTGGGTTGACTGTATTGTTTGGGCGCCCGAGTTATCCGGGGTAACTCGGGTCCGGGGTTACTCGGGTTTGGATTCCCGAAAAGGAACCCGAGTTAGCCCTGACCCGAGTTACCCCTTATGATTCGGGGCTCTGGACGCCCGAGTTATCCGGGGTAACTCGGGTCCGGGGTAACTCGGGTTCGGGTTCCCGAAAAAGGAACCCGAGTTATCCCTGACCCGAGTTACCCCTGATGACTCGGGGCTCTGAATTGTGGATATGTTCGACTCCCCCCTTGCAAAGGACCCCCGGGCCCGAACCCGAAGAGGTCACCGGGAGAGGGCTTCCGCCGCCCGGAGGGGGGGCGCCGCCGCGGCTGGCCGGCGCGCGAGGAGGGCGCCGCCGTCGGAGGAGGGCGCGGGGGGTCCAGAGAGGAGAGGAGAGGAGCGGGAGGCAGGGAGGGGGGAATATAGGGGGGGGGAGGGGTAGGGAGGGAGGGAGGGAGGGGGGAGTGGAGGGATGGAGGGAGGGAGGGAAGGAGAGGAGGGACTATGAGGATGCGGAGAGGAGGAGGAGGAGGAGGAAGGAGGAGGTAGGAAGGAGGAGGAGGAGGAGTGGGGCTAGTGGAGGAGGAGCAGGGGGGCAGGGAGGGAGGCCACCCGAATCCGAAGCTGCGTGCAGCTGGCGGCTGCCCAGCGCACGGGCCCGCGTGGGCCCCGGCGCGCTCCCTGCGCCCCGGCCTCTCGGCGAGAGCTGCCCAGAGGCCCGGGGCTCTGGCAAGAGCTGGAGCGGCCGGTCTCGGGGCTATCTTCGGCCGGGGGGGGGCCCTCGACTCCCTCCCCGCCCCTCCGCCTCTCCCTCCTCCTTCTCAACCCTTCTCGTCCTCCACCTCCACCTCCAACTCCATCTCCTCCTCCTCCTCCTCCTCCTCCTTCTCATCCTCCTTTTCCTCTTAGTATTACTATCACTCTTGCTGTTATAAATAGTAGTAGTAGTAGTAGTAGTCGTAGTCGTAGTCGTAGTCGTAGTCGTAGTCGTAGTCGTAGTCGTAATAGTAGTAGTAGTAGTAGTAGTGCTCGTAGTAGTGCTTTTAGTAGTAGTAGTAGTAGTAGTAGTAGTAGTAGTAGTAGTAGTAGTAGTAGTAGTTGTAGTGTAGTAGTAGTAGTAGTAGTAGTAGTAGTAGTAGTAGTAGTAGTAGTAGTAGTAGTAGTAGAGTCGTAGTAGTAGTAGTAGTAGTAGAGTAGTAGTAGTAGTCGTAGTAGTAGTAGTAGTAGTAGTAGTAGTAGTAGTAGTAGTAGTAGTAGTAGTAGTAGTAGTAGTAGTAGTAGTAGTAGTAATAGTAGTAGTATCAATATCATCATTATTAGTATTAGTACTAATAATAATATTATTAGTAGTATTTTTATCATTATTATTATCATTAGTGTTATTATTGTTATTGTTATTATCATCATCATCATTATTATTATTATTATTATCATTCGTATTAGTATTAGTAGTATTGTTATTATTATTAATGATAGTATCATTAGTATCAGTATTATTATTCATCTAACTCATCCTCCTCCTCCTTCTCCTCCTCCTCCTCCTTCTCCTCCTCCTCCTCCTCCTTCTCCTCATCCTCCTCTTTCTCATCCCTTCTCGTCCTGCCTCTCCTCCTCCTCTCCTCCTCCTCCACCTCGACTACATCACCTCCTCTCCTCCTAGCCTCTCCTTCATCTACATCTTTTCTTCATTAGCTCTCCTCCTCTCTACTATTCTCCTCTCCAACGTCCTCCTTCCTTCCTCCTCCTACTCTCCTGGCCCCTCGGGGCTCCAGCTTGGCCAAGATGGGCGCTTTTCCCTCGAGAGGGCGGCGCCCCCGGAGACCCCCACGTGGCGAGAAGATGGGGCACCGTGAAGAACCACGCCAGAGCCCCGGAGAGGGGGGAGGTGGGGGAGGAGGAGGAGGGAGGACGGAGCAGGAGGAGGGAGTGAGGAGAGGAGGCGGAGGAGGAGCAGGAGGCGGGAGGAGGAAACAAGTATGAGAAGGAGGAGGTGCGAGAGTGGAGGAGGAGGAGGAGGAGGAGGAGGGGGGGGAGGGGGAAGGAGGACGAGGAGGACGACGAGGAGGAGGAGGAGGGAACTAACCTTGGGGAGGGGGGGGGGGGGCCTTCGGAGAAACCCTCCACGCCAGAGCCCCGGACCCCATCTCCTCTGCGTCGCTTTCCGGGCTGCGTCGATCTGTGCGGGCCCCGGGGCCCGACGCCGCGCGAGCAAAAACGGCTCGGCAGCGCCAAGATCTCGGGGACAGCACCCCGGGCACGGCGGCGACCCGCCAGAAGTGCGGCCGGCGCCCCTGCACGTGTGCCAGCGCGGGCCCCAAGCAGCGAGCTCTCCTCCTCGTCCTCGTTCTCGTCTTCACCGTTGCCGTCGTCGCCGCCGCCGCCTCGGGGGGCGGGCGAGGAGGGGAGATGGCGCAGGGCCTCCTGGCGCCGGAGGCGACCACGCATCGAGGGACGTGCCTGTGGGGGGTGGGCTGGTCGGCAGCCCCTCTCGACCAGGGGGCTCGGTCCGCTGAGGCTTCGCAAGAGGTTCTTCGCCAGCGTCGCCCAGACGCCTACAGGAAGAGCTGGACCACACGAAGCCTTCCACGAGAAGCCCAACCCTGGAACCCCAGGACGTCCACTGATGTTTGGTGTGGGAGCGCCACGCTCTCTATAGCAAAGCCACCGAAACCCAAGATACCCAGGGCACCCTGGAGGCAAGCAGGGTGTTTCTTGGCATGGGTTTCCGCTGTAGCAGAGCGCCGCCTGCGATCAGAGTGCGGCTGCGTGCTGCGGGTTCGTGTGTTCTCGCCAAGGTCGGCATCGTCACAGGAAGCCGCGCCAGCGAGCATGAATGGAACTGTGGCGCGAGGGGGATAAAAGCTCCAGGGCCTTCCTGGGGTCTCCTCAAAGCGTAAGTGACGCACGCTTACGCTCCAAGCGGCCGATCGCATCTTCCCCGAAGCAATACGATCACCCGAGCCGCTGCTAATGCAATCCGTTGGGGAGCGACCCCGTGGGTCCTGCACTGAGCGGGATGCCTCGCGGCAGCGGCCCTAGGCCGTGGCGCTCAGGGCCGCGGCGAAGTCACAGCCACCGTCGCCCTTCCAGCCCAGGAAGTTGAAGCCGAGGCCGTTCGTCTCCACATCCCACTGGAAGAGCTCCTTGGTGGAGCCGAAGAGCGGCCGCAGCAGCAAGAACGCGGCCTCCAACGAGCCTGCGGGGCCACCTCCATCGAGCACCCTGGCGGCCACCTTCACGTCGCACTCGGCGGCGGTCACCTGCTGCTCGAAGTCACTCCTCTGGCTCGACGTCAGCTGGTGGTAGGCCTCGCGCAGCTGGTGCGCGAACGGCTCGAACTCCCCGGTCGCGAAGACAGCGATGGTCTGTCGAAGCTTTTGTTCGGTGATGGGGCCCGACAGCACCCCGTTCCAGAGACTCTCCCTCGCCTCGACCATCTGGTGGAGCATGTCCTCCACGGGCGATCGCGCTTCGCAGGCCTGCTTGAAGACCGCGAGGTCGTCCAGCTCGCCCTGTGCCTGCGTCACGCTTGTCATCTCCTCCTGGGACATCCCTGTCAAGTTCAGGCCGCCGACCTTAAGATCCGAGGCGGTGATCCACTCTGCGAAAGGGTGCAGCTCGTCGATCATCTTCCAGCGGCCCTCGGCGCAGTTGCCGCCGAAATTGAGCACCGATGGTGGCGGTGGCGGATGTGAGAAGTGAAGGAGGAGGGAGGAGGGACGAGGGAGGAATGGGGGAAAAAGACCAGTTTAAACCCAAGGTGCATCAGCGATGTTGCAGCAAACCCTCCCTCCAGGTTCCCTCCTCTGCAGCTTAAACCTGTTATTTCCATTGCGGGAAGTGGCCCTTTAGAATGCAATCGCCGGAAAAACCTCAATCGTACCAAACCGCAGTTCCTGCGACTTCGCCGACGAAGGTGAGTGTGACTGTTGCGTCACGACGAATCTTAGATCGTGGCAGAACGCCATGTCTGGGACTCCGCACCGCGAATTTACATGACTGTTGCGCCTGTCAGTCCGTGCCAGAACACTTTGCCTCGGACTTCGACCAACCCTTGAAACTGTTTTCAACCAATTTGCAACGAATGCGCCTGGGGATACAGCGAGAGTTACCTTTGTCAGAAAGAGCCCCCCTCCATCCGTGAGGCCCTTGCAAGTTTCTAAGACGAGTGCGCCCGGCGCTGAATCGAGAGCCACGTTTTGAAAACCACCCGCCCATCATCCTTGAGACTGCTGCGTCTGGCGCGCAACTGGCGCAAACCGCATTTCAAAAACCACCCGCTCTCCATCGGTGACGCTGTCGCAAACTGTTCATGCGAATGGACGCGACACTAAAACGACAACCACATGTTGACAACCATGCGCTCTCCATCCGCGAAGCTATTGGTTACGCATTTTCAAGAGGAGTGTGCGCGCCGTTAAGGCGAGCCACATGCTTAAAATTATCGTCCTCCATAAATAAAATGTTGGCATCTGTCGCGCGTCATGATCATACACGGCGAAGAAGGTCTCAAACAACACGCCTTGTCCGCCCCACCGACACGCCTGGGGGTGGGATAAGCATGAACTACTTATCACGAGAAGGGATGGAAGGAGAGAGGGGGGGCAAGAGGAGGAGGAAGACGACCAGTGTAAACCCAAGGCTCATCAGCGATGTCGCAATAACCACGTCCTCTACATTGTTTTGCTTTATAGGCCCCTACAAGATTTCGTTTCCATTGATAAGAAAACCGTCTGCATAAATCCTGACCCGTGCTAAAACACCATTCCTGGGACCCCGACGCTGCGAAAACATATGACGCTTGCGCCCTGACGATCCTGAGCCGCGCCAGAAGACCACCCCAGGGGCTTGAACGACTCCAGCTCCAATGCCAACCAGCGACCAGCTTAGGGACCCCAGCCGCAATAACCCTTGCAACTGTTGTGAACTCCTAAAACGAGTGCGCGCGGCGCTGAGGCGAAACCCACGTTTTGAAAAAAAAAACGCCCTCCGCCCGCGAAGCTTTTAGATCGAATGCGCGCGGTGCTGCGGCGGGGGGCCACCTTTTGAAACCCGCCCGCCCTCCATCCGCAAAGTCCGTGCAAACTTTTAACACGAACGCACGCGGCGCTAAAGCGAGAACCGCTTTTGAAAACCAGCCGCCTCCCATCCGCGAAACATTCTTGCGAATTTTAAGTGAATGTGTTGGGCGCTGACGCGAGAAACACACGTTCAAAACCACCCGCCCTCCATCCGCGAAGCCCTTGCAACATTTTTGAAGCTTGCGGATTCTAAGCGGCGAGAAATCTCAGACGACGCGGCCGGCCAGCCCTGCCGACACCTCTCGTGGTGCGACAGGGACGATGTGTATATAAGGACACGGGATGAGGGGAGTCGGGAGGAGGGGGACTAGGAGGAGAAGGAGGAGGAGGACGAGGAAGAGGAGGAGGACGAGGAGGCGGGAGGAGGGGTTACGGAGTTACGGAGTTACGGATATTGCGACCATGTCGGTTACGATTAAGCCTCGCCCGCTCAGAGAACCTCGGAGAGATTGCGAAGCAATGCATACATGGGCACTCCTCCCCCTGATCACGACGAGGGCCGCGACGACCAGGAAGCCCCGCGCTTGGACAGAGTAGCCGTCCACCATATTGCGCGAGACGCTCATGTCCCTCCAGCTGTCGATGTCCAGGGGCGAGATGACAAGCCCGAAAACGAAATGACTTGAAACCGCAAGAGCGCCTCTGACACCAAGCAAACAGCGAATGTACAGTCCCACAGGCAAGCATAAACAATACTAGATTCCTTTCTTGCCCTCTGGGCCTGGGCCAGGCTCAGCCGAAATATAGCCAAGCCCCGTCCGATGTCGTGGAGAAGAGCCCGACTCTTGCAGTGGCCCGAACAAGATGCCCGAGCGAACAAGTCCAACCACCAAACCACATAGCTACTGGTTATTGCAGCCGTCGTTTGGCGTTGAAATAAGGAGCGAAGCAGACGTGGAAGGCTGCCCTTGCTGCTCAGTAGCCCTGTTCAACTCGGCCAAGACATCTGACGTGAAAGCGAAAGCCTCACCTTGCCGACGGTCAGACACGGCAGCAGCGGTTCCGCCCCGCAGAATCTCGCCATCTACAACCAGCGCCGTGCGCCGCCTGGTCCATGCGCCGCTGTCGGCCGACGACACGCCAGGGCGAGGCTGTGGGGGATCCTGCGAACCCATTCCTCCTGGCTTTTCGCACCCTCCTTCAGCACGTGGTGCGCCAGGCTGTTCGGCCGCAAATGCCACAACCTTCGGAGAAAAGGTGACCAGCGTCAGGGGCACCCCCAGGGGCTGCCAACTCCACCTCGCCGCCCGCCTGCACCGCTTTGCTAGGCCTCACCATCCCTCCGCAGGGCAGCCTTCTCCCGCGGGAGCCCTGCTGAGGCTGCGGGTAACTGCGAGGTCGATGCTGGTGCCGCGACGCGCCAGCGTGCTCGCCCTCAGGCGCCGGGCCTGGAGGAGGTACAGGACGGGCTCCATCGGCTGCACCAGCCGGCTCGCCAGCCAACGCTTGGCGGAGCGCTTGGGCGAGGCTCGTCAGGCCCTGGCCCCTGTGCCGTTCGATCTCCGTGAAGGCGTGCGTCCAGGAGCCGCATGGCCGCGCGCCCATCCGCACGTGCATACTGAGCTCGGCGCTCGGCCGCAGTGCGATTGGGCCGGCGGCGCCGCGGCGCCTGATCCATGCCGAGGCCGGAGCGCGAGGCGAGAGGAAATGATCGGAACGGAGGAGGAGGAGGAGGGGAGGAGGAGGAGGAGGAGGCGGAGGAGGAGGAGGAGGAGGAGGAGGAGGGGGAGGAGAAGGGAGGAGGAGGGGGAGGATGAGGCGAGGCGCACCGCTAGAGGGCCGAGCGCCAGCCCCTGCGCGCCCCCCACGCCGGTGACGTAGCCCAGCAGCTCCGCCGCGTCCGCGGGGGCGATGGACCCCTCGAACAGGGACCCGTCCGCGGAGGCGCCGTGGCCGGTGTAGGTCAGGGCCACGGGCGCCCCGGGCTCGGCCTCTGGGGCGCAGACGGACATCCTCCCAGACATGTGAGCAGGGACCGACCGTCCCAGCATTTCTATAGCCCTACCACGAGATGATTTTAGAACCCAGAACTGTTCTCTGGGGCGGCCAAGAGGGGGGTGTCCAAGAGGGGGGGGTGCAAATCATGACCGGCGGCATGTGCGCGGCCCAGCGGGGGGGCCAGGGACGTAATGAAATAGAGAGGCGCATGAAATCTGGGAAAAATCATTGCGGCTGGGAAATATCATGGCCCCCGCCATGAGATCCCCCCCTAGTCATCACCCCCTCTTTTCCGCCCCCGATGTTCTAAGAACAAAAGCAATGTTCTTAGAACAAGAGCCCGATGTGTGTTGACACAAGACAGACTCGGCCAGACATGCTCTGAGAACATTTCGTGCAAACCACAAAAGGTTCTTAGTTCTTAGAACATTGCTTGGTGGGCCTCTAGGCGAGCCAAGGCGCTCCGCCACTGCTTGAAACATGCTCGCGTCGTGAAACAAATTCTGAGAACATTTCGTTCAAAAACCACAAAAAGGCTCTTAGAGCATGGTTTGCTGGGCCGCTAGGCGAGCCAAGACGCTCCGCCACTGCTTGAGACATGCTCGCGTCGTGCAAAACTCAGGACATTGCTTGGTGGGGCTCTAGGCGAGCCAAGGCGCTTCGCCGCTGCTTGAGACATGCTCGCGTCGTGAACAACTCAGGACATTGCTTGCTGGGCCGCTAGGCGAGCCAAGGCGTTCCGCCGCTGCTTCAGACATGCTCGCGCCGTGCAAAACTCAGGACCAGGAATGTGTTCGTCGCTGCCGGCCGGCCTCTCGGGGCCCCCACCGGGCCTCGGGGCCGCCGTGGACAGCGACGCAGCAGGGTGGAGAGAGGCCAACCCGAGGCAACGGGTCGGGACTTTCCCGGGGGCCGCGCACGAAAACGGGACTATGCTTGGGACAGTGCTGTCTGCAGTCAGGTGAATACTGCTGGTAATGAAAATGTTGAGCGCCTGTCATCCTATCGGAAGCGCCGGAGAGAAGCCAACCCGAGGCAACGGGTCGGGACTTCCCGGGGCCGCGCACGAACACAGGACTATGCTCGGGACAGTGCAGTCTTTGGCGGGATGCAAATGGGGGGGGTAAGTCCAGGGGGGGAGAGAGGCGCAACCGAGGTACAAATTGTACCTACGCCCCACGGAGAAGGTACAATTTGTACCGACGCCACGCAGACAAGGTACAAATTGTACTTTTGACAACGTCCGCGACATGTGCGAGGATGTTAACGGGGGGGAGAAGATACAATTTGTACTTGCAACCGGCAGAGAAGGTACAACTTGTACCCCAACAAAACGGTACCGGATACTCATCCCCCCATGTCCTGATCCCCCCCATCGCCATCCAGGTGAAATACTGCTGGTAATGAAAATGTTGAGCGCATGTCGTCAACGCGCGCGCAGACTTCACGCGCACGAGCTCAGGATGGGATTCGAGCTCGGGCTCGGTCTCAAGCTCGAGGTCGGGCTCGCGCTCGGGCGCGGGCCCGCGTTCGCGCCTGAGCTTGCGCGCGCGCACGCGAGCGCGCACGCGAGCGCGAACGCGCGTGCACGCGCACACGAACGTTCACACGCGCACGAAAGC